TATATATATATATATATATATACATATATATATATATATATCATATATATATATATATATATTCAACTGATAGATAACAAATGTAAATATTTGTGAAATTTTACATACTGTAATACTTCTTCTCTAAAAAGCTCTCTCCTGAAATACTATGTTTAGAAAAACAGAATAATCCTTATGATTCATTTATATGAGCTGTGTTATTCTCTGTGTTTATTTAAATAACAAAATGGATTTCAAGAGATGTATTATCGTTATAGATTGAATTATCCCCACCCCAATCATATATTGAAGTCCCAGTCCCTAGTGTTATAGCATTTGGAGAGGGGTTTGTGGGGAGGTGGTTAGGTTTAGGTGAGGTTATAAGGAAGGGGGTCCTCATGATGGGCTTTGTGCCCTTATAGCGGTTTTCAACCTGTGGGTCGCGAACAATGAAAATACATCCTGCATACCAGATATTTACATTACGATTCATAATAGTAGCAAATTACAGTTATGAAGTAGCAACGAAAATAATTTTATGGTTGGGGGTCACCACAACATGAGGGACTATATTAAAGGGTCGCGGCATTAGGAAGGTTGAGAACCACTGCATAAGATGAGAAAAGACACCAGAGCTCTCTCTCTCTCCACCATGGGGGGACAGAGTGAGAAAGTAACTGTCTGCAAGCCAGAAAGAGAACTCTCATCAGAATTGGACCATGCTGGCATTGTGATCTCATAGTTACTGTCTCCAGAATTGTAAGAAAGTATTGTTTTTTAAAGCACCCCGGCACATGAAATTCGTGCACGGGTGCAGTCCCTAGACCTAGCCTGCAATCAGGGCCATCTTCCCTGGCTACCAGCAGCTTGCCCCGCCCCTCCCACCCGGGTTCCCAGTTTGCCATCAGGCAATTGGAGCCTGACGGCCGGCCGGGGTGAGGGACCAAGAGGTCGGCCATTCCACCCACTCACCAGCCCCAGCCCCACCGTGGGTCGCCCTCTGTGTGTGGGGTGACCAGCGGGGCGGGAGCTTTGGTCTGGCACTGCCCGCATCCCCTGCCATCCACCCCTGGGTCCCCATTCGCCATCGGGTGATCAGAGCCTGCCAGCCGGGGGAGGGACCAAGAGGTCAGCATTCTGCCCGCTCGCCAGTCCCAACCCCTGCCACTACCTACCCCGGTTCCCAGTTTGCCATCAGGAGATTGGAGCCTGGTCGTTCTGCTGTTTTGGTCGCTGGGCTTTTTATTATATAAGCCTAGAGGCCCAGTGCACGAAATTCGTGCACAGGGTGGGGGGGGGTCCCTCTGCCCGGCCTGCACCCTCTCCAATCTGGGACTTTGGGGGATGTCTGACTGCCAGTTTAGGCCCAATCCCTGTGGGCAATCTGGGACCACTGGCTCCTAACCACTCACCTGCAATCCCGGACCACTGGCTCCTAACCGCTCACCTGCCTGCCTGCCTGTTTGCCCCTTAACCCCTCTGCCTACCCGCCTGATCGCCCCTAACTGCTTTCCTCTGCTGGCCTGATCACCCCTACCTGCTATCCCTGCTGGCCTGATCGCCTCTAACTGCCTCTGCTATGGCCCCCGCCACCGTGGCTTTGTCCAGAAGGACATCCAGAAGACGTCTGGTCTAATTAGCATATTACCCTTTTATTAGTATAGATTATAGCAACCTGAATAGATTA